AGCATCAGTAGCAGCATCAGTAGCAGCATCAGTAGCAGCATCAGTAGCAGCATCAGTAGCAGATCAGTAGCAGCATCAGTAGCAGCATCAGTAGCAGCCTCAGTAGCAGCCTCAGTAGCAGCCTCAGTAGCAGCCTCAGTAGCAGCCTCAGTAGCAGCCTCAGTAGCAGCATCAGTAGCAGCCTCAGTAGCAGCATCAGTAGCAGCCTCAGTAGCAGCATCAGTAGCAGATCAGTAGCAGCATCAGTAGCAGCCTCAGTAGCAGCCTCAGTAGCAGCCTCAGTAGCAGCCTCAGTAGCAGCATCAGTAGCAGATCAGTAGCAGCATCAGTAGCAGCATCAGTAGCAGCATCAGTAGCAGCATCAGTAGCAGCATCAGTAGCAGCCTCAGTAGCAGCCTCAGTAGCAGCCTCAGTAGCAGCCTCAGTAGCAGATCAGTAGCAGCATCAGTAGCAGCATCAGTAGCAGCATCAGTAGCAGCATCAGTAGCAGCATCAGTAGCAGCATCAGTAGCAGCATGCACAGCCCTTTTCGCTTCGGAATGTCCTGGTGACGCACTATGATGTCATACTGCCGTATATGCCGTGCATGCCGTACAGGAGACACTGTGAATACGGCCTCCCGCATGGAAAGCACAGGCGAGCCTGGCGCCATACACGCCTCCGAGACCACGTACGTTTTGTTGCGTGACGTGGCATCGTGGCTCCCAACGGGCGGCATACAAGTAAAGGGCAAGGGCTTGCAACAGACATACCTACACATCCCCTCCTCACACCCTGGCGGCGGCGGTGTCGGCAGAGCCGGCGGTGCCGCCACCTCCGGCGCCTCGAGCCAGTCCGCTTCCGGCGCCACCTTAAGACACCCGACCCCGTACCCCATACATGTTACGGCACACCACCAGTACGGCAATTTTCACGGCGGCCCGTACGGTCAAGTACCGCCGCCGACCATAGGCCTTATCCCAACCGAACCTACGGTTGGGTACCTAGGGTTCCAGCACTGCCAAGAGAGGGAGAGGGACGGCCCGCCGATGGCGTGTGCGGCTGTAGCCAAACCATCCCTGCAGTTACAGCTGCAGCTGCAGCAGCCGTTGATGCTGCAGACCCCTGCGGTGCCATCTGTCAGCTCGGCGGGGACCATTCGCAGCATTCCATCTGGGAATGGTTCCGGAGCGACAACGCCGTTGCGGATGGTGAGCAGTGGCGTTGTACGAACGCCGGGGGATAGCCGCCGCAGTTCCTTTGCGGATAATCCGGGACCTTGTACGGCCGCCAGCCCGGCGGCGGCGTTGGCGGCGGCGGCAGCGGCGGCGACGTTTGAGGTGGAAGCAGCGCCGGCAGCCGCGGCCGAAGCCACCGCCGCCGTCTCAGATGCCGATGCGGCCGCTGCCGCTGCCGCCACCGTCGCCGCCGCTGTTGACTCAATCGACGCAGCGACGGAGACCACGGATCCAATGACGACGTGCATGGATTTGATTACTGCCGCCGCCGCAGTCGCTGCTGCCGCCACCGCCTCCGGTTCGGCTCCACAGGCCCAAGGGTGCGGCAGCGGCGGCGGCGGCCTCGTGCCGTCGTGTACGGATGGCGCGCAGCACGGCCATATCGGCCTCTTTGGCGACGGCGAACCGAATGATGACGTGTCGGGGCTCCGACCGTCTTTCGAGGGTTTTCCCCGCCCTACGCAGCTGTACAGCGGTGATCGGAGCTCGACACCGCCCGTCACGACACGCGTCAGTGTCGTACGGAACGCAGCGGAGCGCCTGCTTGGCAGCGCACTGGCGATTCTGCAATGGGAGCCTGTTCATGGAGACGGCGGCAGCGGCATCGGCGGCGGCGTGAGTGTCGTACAACATACTGACGGAGGTGTACGACGTGGGATGGGTGCTGGCGGCCGCATCCAGGGTCGCGTTGACGGCGACGGAGGCGGCGGCCATGTTGCTGTTGCCTGTTCAGGATTTGGAAATGAGCCCAGCACCGGTGGCGGGGGCGGTGGAGGAGAGCTAGGCTGTGGTGAGCTTATTCAGGCAACACCGGTGAATGAGGGGATATGAGTGAAGGCTGCGTGTGTGTGTATAAATGGTATAAATGAGCGAACAATGCCGTACGACAGTACGCAGTATTATGAGAGGCACCGAACGCAGGTGATGCGCCACTGTGTTTCTCTGCGTCATGCGATTATGTAGCTCATGCATAACTTATATATATAATCTGGATGTGGTGAAAGATTTTTTCGTGAGTAGTTGCCGTACCGCTTACGGCTCGTCGTACGGACAAGGAGGCACCTGCAGGCAGGAACGATTGTGCTTGCTTCAACGTGGGTGGAGGTTGGAGGTCTGGTTCCCGAAAAATTGAGCATTATGGGTTATTAGCTGCGACCCATGCCGTCTATCTAGCCGTCAGATAGATAGCCATTTATGCGAATTGGGGTGTTAAGAAGAGTGACAATCACAGCTACAGCCACAGCCAGTGCTTGTGGGGTGGCTACAGTCACTGCCACTGCCATCTGCTATTTTATTTTTGTTTTACGGTCTTAATTGCGGTCGTAAGATCAGTGTGTTGACAAGGAGCAAAAAGGGGGGAGGGGCCAGAAGGCGCATGCAACACAGGACCGGAAGCCGGGTCGTTGTATGCGTTGTAGCGCCGTGTGCGTGCCCTGCTACTGCTGCTACTGCTACTGCTGCTGCTACTGCTACTGCTACTGCTGCTACTGGTGCTACTACTGCTGCTACTGCTACTGTGGCTACTGCTGCTTGCTACAACCGCCCTGTGTGCACTAGTCTTACTAATGGCGGTATGTAGCAACTGATGCCAACCGCTGCAACAGCCGGCTGGCCGACATGTAGATCCACTCAGCACTCAACATTCAACACTCAGCACTCAGCACTCAGCAATGCACAACAATGCTGGTGATTGCAATGTGATGGTGGGTCCCAAAGGGAAGTTTTGCTCCGGGACCATACAACCCCAGCGTGCCTGTGTTGTGCGGGAGGGACTTCAATATTAGCTCGCACTCGGAAAGATTTTTGACATTCTTGGCTGCATATGGCTTTTATTGTTTTCATTCACGAACGACTATGTATGCATGCATGCATGGCGCCCCTTAACAGCCGGACGGGTAAGTCAGTTGTACGGTCGTACGGCGGTACGGCGGTGCGATCCTTCACGAAAGTGAGTAAA